AACATGGACTACCTGCAGCAGAATCCAACTTAATTAGCCTTGGATCCACCAGAAAAGCCCAGGGCAGAAGGCTAGCTAGGATCTCAGAAGACAGCCATGACCAATTACTTCTGTGTTGCTCCTGAGAAAACCCTTGGAGATATTGAGGTAGCCACCCAGAGTCAAGCTTGACTCAGAAGGTGACTTCAGCTCAAGGGTGGCTTTCTCTTTTCTACTAATTGCGACAGCAATGCCTAAACATGGGCTCCTCTTTTTGATGACAGTGGTGGACTGATTAAAGCGCCTGCTTTTGAGAAAGTCTAGCTCATCCTTGAAGAACAACAAGGATAATCTTTTTAGAAGCCAGTTCAAAGTTTCTTCTAAGTGGAAGAGGAGAGCTTGAGAACATGAGAAGAACCCTGATGGATCTAGCCAGGATTCAATCACACAGGGTGGCCCATCAGATGCAACTAGGACAGTGTTTCTAGCCTTGGCCACTTTAAGATGTGTGGACTTCAACTCCCAGAATTCCCCAGCCAGCCATGCCAGCCAGCCATCTTAAAGTGGCCAAGGCTAGAAACACTGATCTAGGAAGTCCACAAATCAGACTTTAAGGCATCTCTCTTCTCCCTCTATTGCTTCCACGCACCTAGTTTGTAGAGGCATAACGGTCTAGTTACACCTTGATGTAGCAAGTTCCAAAGGCAGATTATATATTACATGAAGAAATATTCCCCATTATCAATTTTCACTCTTCTTGTTCACTCCTTCTTTACTATGCATCCTTTTATAAACCTCATCATATCCTGGTCAATAACTTTTCTCTGAGTAAAACTGCCCCAACGGATGCATCCTGTTCCTCGTACAGAAGGTCTCCAAGCCCCCTTGATCATCTTCATTGCCTCTTTCTGCCCCTTCATCAGCTCCACGATATTCCTCTGGAGATGTGGTGACTTTTCCCCTTCCTTGTGTTTCAAAGCTCTATGGGTATCTGCAGCAACCACTGGTTAACCTTGGTTGTACTTGAAAAGCGGTCAAGATTCGTGCTTGGATGGGAGACCACAAAATGATAGTTGTTCAAGAGGATGCAGATCTTTCCATGAAGTCATCCAGAATCAAGGTTGACTCCAGGAAGTTTTCCCTTTTGCAAAATAATGAGGTGGCAACATCTAGCTGACCTTGGCTGCTCTCAGAAAGGTAGACCGTCTGTTACCTGGTTAGTCCTTGGATGGGAGACCACCAGAATTCCCAGGATTGTAGGCTAGGCTGAAAAGTTGAACAAATATCCTAGAACCGCGTTTCTCAACCTCATCAACTTTAAGATGGGTGGACCTCAACTCCCAGAATTCCCTAGCCAGCTTAAGGTGTCCACACATCTTAAGCTGGCTGGGGAATTCTGGGAGTTGAAGTCCACCCATCTTAAAGTTGACGAGGTTGAGAAATCGGTCCTAGAAGAAGCTAAAAGAAAGCCTCCCTCATACTGTTACCAAAAAAAGGCATGTGTCCATGAAGGCACCAGGGACCAAGTTCAACTCGAAATGGGTCTCTCTTTATTTTGAGATTATTCAGTGCCCAGTTTAGAAAACCCAAACTGAAAAATCCATTTTAGCAAACAAGAAAAAGAGCAAAACCTGAGAAAAACAGCCTATCTAGGCATGATAATAGCCCCAAAGAACCAGCATGGACGTTGTAGGTGTGAAATTGTCTAGAAGCACTTTCAGAAGACAATGATGCAGATTCTCTTTCTATCATCTGGCCAATCTTCAAGCTGCACCAAATTTAGGACCGGGGTGCCGGTTCACCCTATTTCGTTAAATAGAGAGGTTTCATTTGGTTAGCTCACAAAACGAACGGCCAATTTTTTTTTTTTAATTATACAGGGACACGTCTGTGCTCCCATAACTGATGGGCCTTGAAAGGAATTTAATGAGATTTATTCCCAACTAAACCAGCTTGTGACCTTCTGTTTTGGGGGGCAAAAGAAGGCAGTCTCAGTTTACAGAAACTGTCATAAAGATAGTTAAACGGTACACGTACTCCTGATCTTCTCCAGCTTCTGTAAATACCCAGTAATGTCGAAAAACCGACAGCTACCATTTTCTTTCGAATGCTTGAATTCCAGAGCACACAAAGAAAATCCCAAAGAAAAGGTCTTCTGTCCCCAAATCAGTCGAACTCTGTAACGGGAGATTAAAGTTAATGGACTTGTGTCCACCTGATGAGAATGATAAAAATAAATTAGAAGGGTGCATTGGACAGTCCAAATCCTGCAGATGTTACGGACGTTCCCAGCTTTATCCGCAAATGACATTTCCAAGTTTGTTTTAGATCAGTGTTTCTTAAAGGGCGGTCCTAGGACCCCCGTGGGTTCCTCAAGACCCGCTCGGGGGTCCGCAAAATCAAAATGATTTGCCAGCCTATGTTGAAAAATAAAACCGTATTAAAATCCCATCCAATGATCGTGAGAAGCAATAGCAGCAGTGAATAAGTCCATTTTCATTTTGAATATGGTAAATCTCTCAATAAATATAACCCATACAAGCCAAAGCTCTTTTGGGTCCTCCATAATTTTTAGAAGTGGGAAGGGGTCTTGAGAGCAAAAAGTTGAAGAAACATTATCTTAGATCAGTGTTGTCCAAACTTGGCCACTTTAAGATGAGTGGACTTCAACTCCCAG